CCTCTCCTGCCCTGGTGTCAGTGAGCAGGGTCTGGCTGTGCCATGGCCTCCGACTCCTCAGGAGGGATTCGGGCAGGAAACTGTGTGAAACTGGGAGAGCAAACACGTCCACCCAGCCAGGGGACACCGTTCCAGCTGCCCGTCAGGGCAGAGCCTCGAGCCACCACCAGCCACAGAACTGAGGGGAAAGGGAAGCAAAGGCAGAATCACAGAATCGTCAGGGTTGGAGGAGACCTTTAAGATCATCAGGTCCAACCATTAACCTGTCACTCCACTGTAACCCCATAACCCTGAACAGTATCTTCCAGCACCAGATCCAGGCACCACTTAAACACTTCCAGGGATGGTATATCCACCACCTCCCTGGGCAAACCCTTACAGTGCCCGACCACCCTAACATCAAAATTTTTTTTCTAATATCTACTCTGAATCTCCTCTGCCTTAACTTATGGCCGTTCCCTTTAGTCCTCTCAATGCAAGCAAGGGAAGAATCACACCCATAGCTAAAATTCCTTAATTTTTCACAACTTTGCCAATTGAATGTAGGGGTGTTTTTTTTCAATGCTTGAACTCAGAGCAGTTTCAATCTCTTTTGAATTTATCTTAGCTTTCTACAGGTGTTTGTAAGGTAGGCAGCAGGTGTTTGTGTGGTGCTCAGCACCACCGCACTCTATCTCAGTGGGAAGCAAAGTTTTTATCGTTTGTCTCTGTAATTCAAACTCAGGGCACACGGAACAGTCTTACAGCACTGCAAACATGCTTTGCTTTCTTTGCTTTTTAACCTGACGCACCCTGGAAACATTCACTATTATTATTTAACCTTTTTCTATTGACTCCAAAATAAACGCGCTCCAGACCGTATTTTTGTTCTCCTTATATTTCTAAGTCCTTTTGTTTGCCAAGTTGCCATTATACCATTGCTGAAGCTGCACTATAAATATCCCTGGGTTCACTTGGCAGACTATCTGCAGACACCTATGGAGAGCCAGAGGCGTTTTATGAGGAGTAAATCTCCACGATACAGTGTGCATTCTCTCTTTGCTGCATCACAGAAATTCTCCCTGCATACAGCTGACCTGTTGCTCACTGCTTGCTGGAGAGAGCATGCTCCCAGGACCTGAAAGAGCTCTACAGAAAGCAAGCAGGCACAGCAGAAGCCAAACTGGCAGCAGGGAGAGAGCTGCTCAAATCTCCCTGAAGATAATGGATACACTCCCAGTGACTTGGGCCAACTCTGTGTCAGGCCCCAAAAGAATAACACTATCTCATGGGTCTGTAACTGAATCCCAGCTATCTCTCCACAGCCTCTGACTTGCAACCTTGCAGCTGAGCAGGTCTAGCCCGGGAGCACAGAGGTGCCCAGGGTGCACTCCCTATGGCTCATCTGACACAAACTCCTGCTGCCCTGAGCACTCTGGATTTAAGATACATTTGTAAGTAGAAGACACACTTTGGGATGCTTGGCTTCCCTTCTGATAACTATCAGCCTGCCCAAGCCTTCAACAGCCACAATGCATAGCTCAGTCTGGGTCTCCCTGGAAGTCAGCTCTCCTTCAAAGGCTGACAAGCTGGGGTGGGATATAACCCACCAAATTCTATAGTTCCTTGGAAATCGAAACAGAGTAGAGGATGCATGAAAACAGCATCAAATAAATATCTCATTTATGAATAACTGCCCTGGAGTGGAAAGGATCAGGCAGGAGGCTGATGACAAGAAAATATCACGCTGCCTGGCTGTGGGCTTGGATCGTCCTTCAAACACCCTCTCAGCTGGCTGGGTTAGCAGATCATTTTGGCTATCAAATTCATTACTGCACTGGAGAGTGCTCAGTATTAAATCACTTGACCACTTCCCCCTCGGGGATAGAGCCAGGCAGCTTTGTGGCAGGGGGAATAGCCTTGCAGCCACCACTAACCTGAGCTGAGATGGGGCTCAGCTCCCTGCTGCTTCCCCCAGTGCTCCCAGCCTCCCTGCCCTGGTCCGTGCAGGCTCCCGTTGGTCCTGGCCCCCCCTGCCACAGCCTGTGTGGTTTACATGCTGGGGCAGCAGGATCTCAGCTAATTGCACTCAGAAAAGCTCTCCAGCTGTTCACTGCTCTCTCCTGCGTCTCACCCCACCACAAGGCTCCATGGCCATGAAAACAAGACAGAAGGGCAGTCCCAGTGGTGTAAAATGCAATACTGAGAGAAGAGTTCTTGGCTCCTTTAACCATGTTAATAGTGCTATTTCTATCCCTCTCGCAGGATGTTGGAGATTGAATTAATTACCATGTTTGCAGAAGGTTTGGGGTTATTTGGATGTGTCAGAGTATCTAAATGCAAATTATTACAAAATCATTCCTCCCAGAGGTTAATTTATTTCAGGCTGTGATAAATCCATCATAATTCTTCCCTCATATTTGTAACCCTCCTCCCACTCACTCTCCAAACTGCTCCAACAACTCATCTCATGCTCCTAGCCTCAGTCCAGCCCCCCCATGCCAGGACAACTCCAGCCAAGCAGCTCCAGTCCTCTCTTACTGCCCCTGGTAGGCACTA